CACTTCAGTAATTACTGTGGGGGCACCAAGTCAAAAAAAAAAAAAAAAAAACTCAAAGTGACTCCTAATAAAGAAAATAAGATATACACAAAAATGTAGTCAATATTATGAGAAATACATAATCCTATAGCTGGGCCAATGGGGAAAATAAAGATAGATAAATCAGAGGCAGCTTCATGGATCTTGACAAGATAATCTCTTTACAAGCAGGAGATGGAATTTAAGGAAAGAAAATAGGTTATACCAACTAAAAATATAAATAGCTTCGATTGCAAGGAAATGGGGAGTTTTCTGGGGATATTTTTCAAAACTCTGAAACCTAGTTGAAAAAAAATAACCAACCACAACCAACAAACTCAACATGATGCAACACAGGATCACTTGATGTTTATATTCAGCAAACTTAAAACAACCATCAGGTTCACTAACAGTGGTCTTAACACTGCATCTGCATATTGTAAAAGCATGGTAAATACTCCGCATGACATGCAAAGCTTAAATCTTAAAAAGCTGATTTCTTTTGGGTGTTCTATTAGAATAAAATAAGCACGTAAATTATGGAATGGCCACTAACCTGAGTGCTCCAAGTAATTCTTACATCTTTTTTTCCCTTTAATACCTTATGACTCAAATAAGCATTGAAAATAACTTGTGGGGCACCTGGGTGGCTGAGCCCTCAGCTCAGGTCATGATCCAAGGGTCCTGGGATCGAGCCCTGCATCAGGCTCCTTGCTCTGTGAGGAGTCTGCCTCTGTCTCTCCATCTCTCTGTCCCTCCCCGATTGTTCTCTAATAAATAAAATCTTAAAAAAAAAAAAAATCTTGAATATATGCACTGTAAGAATACTCTATTCACATATTCGCAGCGAGCTGAATGTACTTAGACCTACGTCAAATATTTGCCCATGCTGTCATTAACGCTGTCACAAGCACATCGTTCTACAAGTAACCAACACAAAAATCAGAAGTTGTGTTCTTTCCAACGTTTTCCATAGTATCCTTTAGAGCGATGCTGTTCTTGCATATGAATCCATTCAATTCCATGCTATCAAGCAGACCTGATCCTTGAGATCATCTTAATCTTTATGCAAATGAGTCGCCAATTAATCATGAAATAAATGTGACGGATGTTTCACTTAAACTATTTAAAAGGTAGGGAATCCCCGGATGGCTCAGCGGTTTAGCACCAACTTCAGTCCAGGGTGTGATCCTGGAGTCCCGGGATAAAGTCCTATGCATGGAGCCTGCTTTTCTCTCTGCCTGTGTCTCTGCCTCTCCCTCTCTCATGAATAAATAAATAAAATACAAAATATATATATATATATATGCTTAAAATGTGAATGGGCGTCAAATATCGGGGACTACGGGCTCCACATCCTTTAAGGAGGCAACGTGTGAGGACGCTGTGCGAGCTGACCTTTCTAGAACTACCACCAACCAATTGCTACCAATGCAGAGCCTTCATCTCCGGGATACTTCCCCGCTGGACACCCCATCCAGGCTCCCGGGTACTCACCGATAAGGGCGCTATCCGACCCTGGTGTCTCAGTCAAGTTAAATAACCTACTTAACGGGGTCTGTAAGCCACAGACCTGGAAATCACACCCCGCGTTTGCTTGTTTCCAACTCTCGTCCTTGCTATACCAGGGGCTCTACCGCGTGTGTGGCTGCTAGCTCAAGAGGAGGAGATGCAAGATTTTAATCTGGATCCGATGTGTGTGCGTTCAAGGTCCCGGGCGCTTCCTTTCCGTGCGTTTCCAAACGGGCACCGTGTATGTATGTACGTATGTGCTCGGGCGGAGAGCCTTCGGGGAGAACCCGGCCGTGGCACACACAGCACCCCGGCTCCCGCACCGACGGTTCCAAAAAAAAAAAAAAAAAGGGATCCCTGGGTGGCGCAGCGGTTTGGCGCCTGCCTTTGGCCCAGGGCGCGATCCTGGAGACCCGGGATCGAATCCCACGTCGGGCTCCCGGTGCATGGAGCCTGCTCCTCCCTCTGCCTGTGTCTCTGCCCTTCTCTCTCTCTCTCTCTCTCTCTCTCTCTCTCTCTCTCGGTGTGTGTGACTATCATTTAAAAAAAAAAAAGAAAAAAAAAAAAAAAGCTGGGCCACTGAACACTGAAGCACGTGCTTGCTTCTCCGCTGCAGGGATGGGATCTCAGGGCTGAGCAGGCAAAAAAAAAAAAAAGGCAGAACAACAAAATAACACAGGCCTCTTGCATTTCAGCTGTTAGCGGGTGATTCAAGATCAATAAAGAGAAAAGGAGGAAAAAAGAAAAAAGTCCGAATTCCCTAAAAATCAAAGCAAAGGCAGGCAGTATCTCGCGGAGGGCCGACTCGGAGGAAGGCGCTTCCCGCGAACCGGAGGAAAGTTCTGCAGGAGTCACGTGGGCAGGTGCACGGGGCCCGCGGGGGCGGCTGGGAGCGCGCGCGCGGGGGCGTCTGGGGGCGCGCGCGGCTCGGGGGCGCGCGCGGGGGGCCGCGGGGGCGCGCGGGGCCCGGGGGCGGCGGGGTCGCGGCCCAGGCAGCCCGCGTGGCCCCGAGACGCCGCCGCGGCCCCGCCGCCGCGTCCCGCCGAGGCTCCCGAGGCCGCTCGCGGCGAAGAGCCGGCAGCCTCCTTCCCGCCGCCGCGGCGGGGGCGGGGGCGGGGGCGGGGGGGGCCGGCGGTTCGCCGCCTGCACCCGGCTCGGGCGATCCGAGCCCCCGACGCCGGCCGACGCCGACGGAACCCGGGCCCTCACACCCTCAGCCCCGACCCGGGCCCCTTCGCGGACTCACTTTTTGTCAGGGCAGATCCAGTCTCCGTCGCTGACTCGGAAATTCTTGGTCGACATCTTGGCCGCCGCCGCCACCGCCACCGCCGCCCGCAGCTGCGTCTTCGCAGGAGGAAGCGGGCTGGGGCCTCGCGGCCGCCCGGGGCTGCCCGCTGCGCGCCTGACTCCGACGCGCGCCCGCGCCCCGCGGTGACCGAGACGCGCACGGGCCCGGGGTGAGCGTGAACGTCGTCGCCGCGGCCGGACGCCCGGGGCACGGTTCTCCGGCCGGAAGACTTGTAGCGCACACGCAGGCTCCGCAGCCAAACCCTCAGGCGCCGCAAGGGCCAGCCCGGGCGGGAGGCCTTCGTGGCACCGGCGGCCTCGGAGAGCCCCCCGCGGGCGGGAGGACCCCACGGGAAAGCACTTCCGGTCACGTGGGCCGGGCCGGGCGGCCAGGCGGAAGTGACGGCAGCCGGGTTCGCGCGTGGGGTCGCGGGGGCGTGGCAGGTGCTTTAACCCGCGGTTAGGGATGCTGCTGTTTGCGCACGCGGCGCTCGGACGTCATTTAGAGACTCGCTGCTTTCGACACCTGCGTAGATGCAGCACCTTAACCCTTATGCGCGTGGAACCGGGGTATTTGCCAGTGTTGTTGGAATTGTGTCTTTGACCCATTGCTTTTCTCCGGGGGGGGGGACACTCTCGTGTTTTTTTATTTTATTTTATTATTATTTTTTAAAAGATTTATTTATTTATTTATGATAGACATAGAGAGGAGAGAGGCAGAGACAGGCAGAGGGAGAAGCAGGCTCCACGCAGGGAGCCCCACGTGGGACTCTATCCCGGGTCTCCAGGATCAGGCCCTGGGCCAAAGGTGGCGCTAAACCGCTGAGCACCCCCAGGGCTGCCCGATTTTTTTTTTTTAATTAGTTTGTTTATAAACTACAAGGATAGTCGGTGGTAGAATACGCAGCCCCCCCCGCCCCCCCCCCCCCGTCCCCGAGGCCCGAGGTACCCTCAGGTTCCTCTTAGGCCGCAGCACGTGCGTGCAGGTGTCCGGCTGCTCCGTTGTGCCGCCTCCGTCCCAGCGACGCTCCCGCGAACGCTCTTAGGCACGAGGTGACCAAGCGCGAGGCTTCCTTCCTAAGGTCGCAGCAGGCGCCTGGAGGGACGACGTTGTCCGCTACTGCTGGTCCCAAGAACGTCTTCTCACCTCGTGGCTGGCAGGTGGCAGCTGTTGATCTTATTCTGCCTTGAGAACTGGTTATGTGTTCTCACTTTGAAGATTGATGGATCCTCGGTGGCCTTGAGTAATTGTGGGTTTTTTTTTTTTTTTTAAGTTTTGGACGTGTTGAGTATATCATGTTGCATACACTCCTGGTTCCTGTGAAAAGGCTTTGGGAGACTATTGATGATGTTCTGTTTTATTTTTTTAAGATTTTATTCATTTATTCATGAGAGAGAGAGAGAGAGAGGCAGAGACACAGGCAGAGGGAGAAGCAGGCTCCATGCAGGGAGCCCGACGCGGGACTCGATCCCGGGTCTCCAGGATCAGGCCCTGGGCCAAAGGCAGGCGCTAAACGGCTGGGCTGCCGGTGCTGCCCTGTTCGGTTTTAAAAGGCGGTGGGGGGATCCCTGGGTGGCGCAGTGGTTTGGCGCCTGTCTTTGGCCCGGGGTGCGATCCTGGAGACCAGGGATCGAATCCCACGTCGGGCTCCCGGTGCATGGAGCCTGCTTCTCCTTCTGCCTGTGTCTCTGCCTCTCTCTCTGTGACTGTCATAAATAAATAAAAATTAAAAAAAAAAAGACGGTGGGTCCAGTTTGATTTAGATCCACAAGTTCAAATTCGGGCTCACTTTCCGTGCACGCTGGTCCCTTTCAGCTCAGCTCTCAGAGCTGTTATTCTGCTTGGAGCCTGCCCTATACGGGCAGCACCCCGGCATTATTTTGGAGCTCGGGCAGTATGTTAATTCCTGGTATCTGCGGTTTTGCTTTCTCTTGGTTTCAATTTTTTTTAAAAGATTTTATTTATTTATTCATGAGAGACACAGGCAGAGGGAGAGGCAGAAGCAGGCAGGCTCCATGCAGGGAGCCCGATGTGGGACTCCATCCCGGGTCTCCAGGATCCTGCCCTGGGCCCAAGACAGGTGCTAAACTGCTGGGCCGCCCAGGCTGCCCGCTTTCCCTGGTTTCACTTAACCTGTGATCAACTAGGAGAAGCAGATGATTCTCCTTCTGACTCATCCTTGGACAGTTACAAATGCCTGTTATACACCTCCCTTCATCTCATCCTACAGGCATTTTATCATTTCACATAGAAAGAAAAGGTTGAGGGGCGCCTGGATGGCTGGTCTGGTTGAGCATTCAACTCAAGTCATGATCGCAGGGTTGTGAGATGCAGTCCCACGTGAGCCTCTGGGCTCAGGGCAGGGTCAGCTTGAGATTCTCTTTCTCCTTCTGTCCCTACCCCCGGCCCCCAACCCCGCCCTGCTTGCACATGTGCTTTCTAAATAAATACAATCTAAAAAAAAGGTGAGTAAAGTCCAGAAATATACTTTAAGAGTGCGAAACCACATTAATATAAATTTTATTACAGTGTATTATTGGAATTGTTCTATTTCATTATTAGTTGTTCTTGCCTGGTTTATAAAGTAAGCTATAATTTATCATAGCAATGAATGTAGAGGGAAAAAAACACTATATATAGAGTTTTATCTGCAGTTTCAGGCATCTTCTGGGGGGTGTTGGAACGTATCCCCGGTTGAAAAGGGGAGGCTACTGTAGTTTAAATTGTAGTTCATTTCACAGACCTTTGCTAAACAGCTTTGTGTTTTTCTGCAAATTCTTAATTCAGGTGTGAGAACCATTTATGTGGGTTTATGGATAGGATTAGGGGGTCCCCTTCTACAGATCTCCCCTTTTGACACTCATGTTCTCTCTTTTGCAGAGTAACGTCTTTCTGGCCCTCCTTCCAGAAATAGGAGATTTTTCTTGGAGTTCTAGCTGCCTTCCATAGCTGCAGCTGCTGACTAGGGCCCACACTGGGGCAAAGAGGTGAGAGAAAAAAAAAATGTGGATTCCCTCCATATTCTTCATACCACAGAGGCCTCCTTTCCTATTTCTCTTGTTTGGAAAGTTAGGGTTTCTCTTGGTCTGAGCCTAGCCCCCAGCTCTCAGGGCAAAGCCCAGAGGGAGAAAAGGAGAAGGGGAAAAAAAAAGCCAGGTATTTCCTGACCAACTTTGACTCACAGAAACCCCTTCTCTCAATTTGTCTGGCTCGAAAGACAGGATTTTTCTTAGTTTCTGCTGCCTGTGCTGCTGTTAGTTTTACTAGATGCCGGGCCTCAGGTCAAAGCTGTGGGAGAAAATAGGAAAAACAAAGAGGGCATTTCTCCAACTTTTGATTCAACCCAATCTGCCCATTTTTGTTTACTTTTCGGAGTCCTCGGGTGGTTGCTTTTTGTATTTTGATCTGAGCTTTTAGCTGCAATCAGCAGGAAAGAGTTGTGGTCTTATTTTATCTTGACTCTGGCAGTGCAAGTCAAGGAAATGCAAATCACTACTACATATTCATCAGAATGATTAAAATGAAAAATTCAGACAATTCCAAGTGTCGGAGATGGGTGTGGAACAACAAATTCTTACACATTCTTATACATAGTGAAAGTGTCAATTGATGTATCTCCTTGAGAGAACATTTGTCCAGAATCTATTAAGTCTGAACATACGTATACCATATGACCCTGAAATTCCACTCCTAAGTATATTCCCAACAGAAATGCACATATGTTCACCAAAAGATGTGTATAATAATGGTCATTGCTACACATTCATAATAACCCCAAACTAGAATTTTCCAATTGCTTATTAGTAATACCCTGGAAAATAGTCACGTATTCACACACTGGAATATTATATATAGAAATGAAAATAAATTGCAACCACATTAAACAGTGTGGCTGCCACTCCAAAGTATAATATTGGAAAAGCCAGATGAAACTTGTACTTTTACATCAAGTTCAAAAGCAGGCAAAACCTAAGTATCTTTATTTCCTAAAAATCCATTGAGCTGCACATTTACCATTTAGGCATTTTTTTTTAAAAGAAAAAGTTTAAAAAATATTTCGATTTACCTAGCTCACCTATCCCCTCATTCAGGTAGATGCTTGCTAAATATTCTACTAACTTGAGTGGCAGAGGGCATGATCACAGACCCCCTTGACATGGTGAGTATCACGGGTGAGTGGGTACCTTGTGGTCCTAATGGTGATTGAGCTCCCTTACAGTTGTAATATCGAGTCTACCATAACTTATATTAACTCGTATTACAAAGCTGTTAGGAAAAGATCTATTCTTGGTTCTAGAATGAATTGAGAGTCTAAGGTGGCAATGATCCAGTCTCTAAGGTTTACATTTGTAGATCCAAGGAGAATTTTCTAAAAGTCCAGATAAATCAATGATCTTGTTTATACATGTTCAGTTCACATTCAAGGAAAAAAAAAGTGCTACTCAAAAAGAACGGAAGATAACTTTTAATAAAGTTCCAAATCATAAATTCACTATAAGAGTCATAATTGAGATATATTAAAGTAAATTTTTTTTAGTTGACCAGAGTTTTTTTTTCCTTAATTATGGTACATAAATCCTTGTGTTATAAAATATCTAGAATTACGACTTAAGCAACTATAAAAACGTTTGCTCTTGAAATAAATAGGTCTTAAACAAAAGAACAAGGAATTTAAGTAAATAAAATGTCCCTGGATTTAACATTCATACCTAAGAAACTCCCTAATTTTAATCTGGGAACCTGTGGAAAGTAAAATTCACTCCTTAGGTTACAAGTATGGCAGCGACATTAGGCGAAGTTGTGGCGTGGTGTGAAGTGGTGGCTGGGTTTAGTGCAATATGTACAGATATTACAGGACAGAGGGGAGGGTGGCTCTACCTCCCAGAAAGGTCCTCAGAATTTGGAAATGGAGTAATAAAATACGATTTAGAAGTGAGGTTGGAAGGATTAGCATGCAATTGATTAAACCAGCCCCGTGAGAATAGAATCAACTCATTCTAGCATCTGGTTTGTAGTTTTGACATGAAGGTGAACAAGGATCTCCTAAAGCCAATCCATATGCCCGAGGGAATTCTTTCACAGGTAATAAAAGCTACTCTTTATTTGTCACTATATATTCAGTAGTGTGGTAAGAGCTTTATATTCGTGATAACATTTAGAATCCTCCCAGTCTTTAGGAAAGATACTATTAGCTTTGTTCAGATGGGAAATCAAGGTTTAAAACGGGTAGGTACCTCTTGAAGGGCTGTAAAACGTAACATACGGTGAACATACAGGGACTCAAGTCTGATTTCTTGGTTTGCAGTCCCAGCTCCACTACATGTTAACTATGTGACCTCAGGCGAATTACTTGATCCGTATTTTGTTTCTTCGTGGAGGAAGTAAAGATGATAATAATGGCACCTGTATTTCAGAATCACCAAAAGGAGTGTGATAACTCACTGAAGGTGCCTGATAACCATAACACAATAAGTGATGGCTATCATTATTCCATTAAAGGCTAGAGCCTACCAAAGTCAATCAAGTGTAGTTGGTAAACGTTTTCTGTGAGAATCGTATGTCAACAGAAAGATGGTTTGCAGTAAGTCTGAGATAACAATGAAACAAGACATAAGAATATATCTGGTAATGACCAGAAGGGAGGGCTGTTTGTGTTCAGGGATTACAACTAATTTATCAAAGAGAAATATTCCTAGAACAGGAAAGGAATTTCAAGTATCCCAACTTGAAAGAAAAATTCCTCCAGACCATCCATTCTCTTTCTTCTAATCTTATGCTCACCGAACAAGCCTCTGAGTGATTTTTCTCCTCCCGAGTACACTGACACTACCGTGGCAAAACACCCAGAGTGAATACTCCACACGCACTATTTTTTTTTTTAGATTTATCCCTCTTTATAGATTGGTAAATTGACATTCTGAGACGCATATCAGTTTCTTCTGGGTCCTCTTAGCATGTTGTTCCCCAAGAGGTTAATTAGCACTGATGGAAGGAATAAAGTCGAGTTCCTGCATCTACAAAGCTAAGAATCTGGCTCTGGGTATTGCACTATAGCTCTTTGCAAATAACAAACATCACAGTGAAATGGCTTAACCAACAGAAAGGGGAAGGAGCTAATGTAAAGAGAAGGTGTTTGATGGACTAGCAGGGCAAGAGCGCAACACCAATCCAGGAGAGTGACAGGGCGTCTGGCACTCTTCGCCAATCTCTCGTCACTGCCTCTCTGCTTGAGTATGGTTCTTTCCTTTCCGTAGACCAACTTCCCCTGTTGCTTCATTTACGGGATGGGTAGAAGGAGTACATACTGACTTAGACCCGAACAAGCAGGGCTCATAGCAAAGGGCCCACCCTTTGGAGAACCTTCTCCAGATATTCTTGGACCCCTCTGGTGTCCTGGAGCCAGAACCCAGTTTCAGTGTGGGTCTTGGCAATGGAAGCCCTCAAATATTCTGTTGTTGCTGGTGGGTTTGGCCTGGTCAGCAAACCCTTCTGGGTGGGACTTTCTACACCTGGACCTGGACCTTATGGGCCTCAGTTCCTATTTCTCCCTCGCAAAGTCCTCTCGAAATAACTCCCTCTTACGGTCGGCGGGGCCCACCAGGTGCCCGACAAGCTCTGGAACTTATACCTATGAGGGTAGGTCTCGGGCTGCATGGTCTATTCCTGGTGAGCCACTGGCCAGGGCAGTCTGTCTTTATCTTATTTTTAAACTTTTTAAAAAAATTCAATGAGTTAACATATAGTGTATTATTGGTTTCGGAGGTAGAGATCAGTGATCCATCTGTCTTCTATAATTCCCAGTGCTCATTCCATCACAAGGGCAGTATTTTTTCCATGGGGTTGCACCAATGTTTAGCCACGAGAATGGGACTGATTCACTGTTTTGTGGGTGATTTTCAATACTGTGGACACAGAATGGGTTCAGGACCTGGGCTAGCCACTGTCCTCCGTGGGCAGCCTGTATGAGGTGGTACACAGGTGCTTACCTGTTTGTATTCAGACCTAGGAGCCACCTGGTGAGGAGCAACTGAGAGAGTTATGAGTAGCTCACAGGTCTTTGATCCGGGGTTCCCCCTCAACCCATTGTTGGTGGCCAGGGCAGTCATACCACCCTTTTGTAAGCTATGTGCTATATGTCAGAAAATCCTGGTCATGGTCATTCTTGTCCTTTCCCAGAACTTTCTAGACTAGTACTGCAAAGTGAATGGCCCCTTCCTATCAAAGTCATTTCTTGCCTTTAATCAGTGTGGTGACCTTCTGCTGTCCTGGGTTGGTCTTAAGCCCTGTGGGACAAGGGATAGATATGGCTTACTGCCCTTCTTGCTCTGCCTAGGGCCCCTCATCTATCCTTACTACTGCTAACTGGTGGGTGGAGGTAGGATTGTGGTCAACATGAGAAAGGTCACGTTCTAGCAGTGCAGTGATCAAGGCTTATTATAAGTTCAGGAGAAGATATGGTCGGAAGATGTGTTGTTCTATGTTAATGCTTCAAACTCCATAAATAAATGTTATAAACCTCTAAATGATGATTTAACATGACCATAAAACAGAGTAATTGTTTACATTTTCCCGCATCCTCTGGCTAAGACTTGCATTTGTGGTCATCATTGACAAAGCACATTAACAACATTTGAGAGTCATTGGAAACCATTATTCAAGGGCAGCACAATGGATGTTGCCAGGAGATGAGTGATGATATAATCAGAATTCAATAAATGGCATTAGGGAACTGCAGAGGCCAGAAGATCTATACTGTTTCAATTTTAAAAGGTTCCAAAGAGCCATAGCATTGTGAATAATAATAGTGTTGCTACCTTTTCCTTGCAGCGGGATGGATATATGAAATTAGCCAGGAATGGTCTCCTTGACAGTAAATAACGTAAAAAGTAGATCCTGGAAACTAGGAAAAGTTTTCATGTGCACTGACTGGACAATAAACATCTGTGTTAGTACCTTTTTTTGCCCTAAGTTTTTGTCAGTAAAGTGCTATACCTCACGTGGGCCTGTGATTTTTGTCATGACTTTTCTAATCAAATTATTGCTATTGATGGCTTCCACCAGCACACCCCCAAGTATTTGCACAGAGCCTCGTATACCCCGGAGGCAGTGTTAAGAAAGCATAAACCTTTATATCTCTTTTCCATTCAAGAGATTCCACTTGGGAATCTCTTGGCCCCGACTTCTGATTTCCAGACAGAGGCCCTGGGTCCCGTCCGCCAGGTCAGGCAGTCAAGAGCATGATGTACTGTACAACCCTGACTGCTGGGAGGCAGAGGGGGAAAGGGTAGGACTCAGAGAAAAGAAAAAGCAGTTGGTTCTTGTGTCAGTTTTCTAGTGCTCTGTAACAATCGACCACAAACTTAGCTTAAAACAACCTATTTTATGATCTCCTAGTATCTGTCGGTCAGAGGTCTGACCCCAGCGTCTCACCAGACAACAGTGAAGTTACTCCACGGGTACACAATTCCGTCTGAGGCTCAGAGTCCTCTTCCAGGCTCATTCAGGTTTTTGACACAAGTCAGTGCCTTGCAGCTACAGAGTCTCATTTTCTGGCCAGATGTCAGCCAGGGCCAGCTCCAAGTGACTGCCCTTAGGTCCTAAGCCTTTGACCCTCTTACAACATGGGGTTTACTTCTCCAAAGCCTGCAAGAGAATGTCTCCATAGGCTATTTCTGGTGCTGCTGCTGCCACTACCACCATCACTATTATTATTATTTGCTGCCGCCACCACTACGACTGTTGTCCTCTTACAGAATGCAATGTGATCTCGGGAGAAATGCATTCATCACCTTTGCCATGTAATGTAGCCGGATGCAAGGGGTGGCATCCCGTCATAGTCACAGGTTCTGGCTGCATTCAGAGAGGGGCATAATACTTGTATGCCAGGAGGAAGAATCTTGGAAGCCGCCTTAAAATTGTGCCTACCACGGCTCTCGGCCGGGCCAGTGCTCTAGGAGATGGCCGGTGCTGGTGCCTCTACCTTGAAGCACGGGGAAATCTTGAAGCTGACTGTCCTTCTTCTCAACATTCTCTTAAGAACAACATAGTTTATAAAGTGCTTAGGATGTGTGTGAATATTCCTAGATATCCAAAGTCTCTTGGACTCCCAAACTACGTCTTGAGTATTTTGTCACACAGGTTTCTTTTTTCTGCAAATCG